GCAACCCCCACCCTTAGAGTCCCCCCCCCCCATGCAGCTAGAGGCAGCACAGGCTCCAGCTGCCAACAGCCACAACAGCCCCACCCCACCTAAGGGCTTGGTCATCCCGTGCAGCACATGTTGACCTCCAAGCTAGGACAGAAACCTGCAAGCTAGCAGTGATGTGTCAGCACTGGGACCCAGGCCAACCTGTGCCAACGTTATCTGCATGTTCCTCATGAGGCCGCACAGCGAGTTATCTGCCTGGCCCAGGTTCATAGGGATCCGAGTCCAAAGCTCTCACATTCCCCCAGGTCGAGGTGTCACAATCTCAGCTAGAAGCCCAGGCCCACACGAGAGCACCGTACCTGCCCCAGATGGCGTGGGTCCGAAGCCACGCAACTGGGGAAGCTTCCAGCCCGTACATCACAGCATCCCCGTAGTCAACAAAAGGCTTCTGCAGCCTGGAGGGGAAGAGAGAAAGGCGGCATTAAACCAGACTTTAAGCCATACCTGCGAGGTAGCCACAATGCACCTGCAGGAAGAATGACGCGATGGCTACCGCTGAACAAAGAGGGATACGTTTCGGACCAGGGGGCTTTGAGTAGCCGGTAACCCTCTGTTGAACCCAAATAGTCTACTCTCAACCCTTGGATACATGCTCCACAAAAGCTGGGAAGCCACCTGGCCTGGGTGGGCAGCAACTGGAGACTTCAAGCCAGAAGGCAGGGAGGTTTCCGGCTGCTGAAGGAGATGCTCAGCCTACAACCGCCTCCAAGGGGGGCAGCAAGTTTTCTCCCTGATTTTCTACCCCCTTCTTTCATCCCACCCGCCTCTCCAGCCCTTCAGGCAGTAATCAAAGCACCTCTCAGGTCTTGGCAATTAGGGCCTCTCCAGACTCCAGCGAGAGGCAGGAAAGAATCACCACCCTTATCCGACAGGTGCAGAGAGGGGCAGCAGCATCACCCATATTTCAAAGTACGTGGCCCAGTTTGGGGCCACCACAGTGCTCTTGGGAAGAAGGCATGCCATCAGGCTCTGCAACCAGAGGCAGGTGGCATCCACCCACTTCTGGAAACCCTGCCCCCGCCCCCAAAGCACTGGTTCCTCCTGCCCAAGAGTATCGCCAGAAACTGAACAAGCCCTTTGCAAGTTGCACAAAGTCTTTCCCGGTTGCGTAGCTTGCAAGTGGCTCTTCTCCGAAGGAGGCAGCAATTGCAACGTTCAGCAAAACCTGCTCCTAGGTATGATATTCCAAAGGTCCTGCCTGCTGAACCAGGCAAGCCGGCTGCTATCTAAAGGCCGCACAGGGGCCAGGTCGCTGTCTGATGGATCCGAAGGGCACATCAATAGAAGCAGGATGCGAGGGACCCAGGGGAAGGGAGGCTCGGCTGGCAAGGCAGGCACCAGGGCTGGAGTCTCTTACTTGCGGCAGAAGTGGTGGGCACACTTCACCAGGATACGCATGCAATGGACAGCAATGATTCCTATCACAAGCAGGCTCACGGGACCCAGCTAGACGGAGGCAGAGGAGAAAGAGAGAAAAAGGGCTCATTACAAAAGGCGACGGATGGGAAATTCAAGACCAAGGCAACCGTGAACAGCAGCTTCGTGGAGAAGGGAGCGCAAACAGCCAGCAGACGACAGACACCACAGGGCTAGCACGCTGCTCAGAACTGCAAGGGGAGGACAGCCCTTGGAGACCCACCCTACCCTTTCCAAGGGCAGAAAGGATCCCTACAGCAGAGCTGTGGGTTTGAGGCAACCTCCCAGCATCCAAGCCACAAAGAGAAGCAGGAGCATCCCCCTCATCCCCGGCCCCTGACCTCAGCTTAAAGCAAAGCTCCTCAAGGCAATTTATAGGAGGGGGTATTATAAGAACAAACCAAGGCAGCAGGAACCACAGTGGCAGGTGGGAGAAAGCCAGAAGAGCTGAATTCAAGACTGAGCCCAATCCTGCTACCCCAGACAGCAGGCCCAAGACAAAAAGGAAAGCAGGGGACAGCACGGTGGGGTTCACACAGTGGTGTCCAAGGCTTTGGGAACAGCTAGGTGCAGAGGGGCTTTATGCAGCCAGGAGGCTCCACAGAACCCAACAGCCAGAGCCGGGGACTGGCAGAGACCCGCTCCCGAGTCCTCCGTGCTGCAGGGAGCTCACAGCCATCTCAGTCTGCAGGTTGCACCCACACAGTTGGTTCCATGTCTGCTTAACTCGTAAGAGGGAAGAGACCCAGGGAGGTCGCACAGCAGGTATCCCCAGCCTCAGAAATGCAAGAGGACGATCCCCCGCCCCCTCACACCAGTAAAAGCTGCAGCACAGAGGAGGGAGGTCTGCCCTCAGCGAGGGCCACGGGTCACTTAGAAGAGCCAGGACAGCAGCGCTAAGCTAGGCAGCTCTGCTCCAGGACACGCAGAGCATGCAGGAGCACGCAGCTGGGAGTGTGGCAGGTGCTAGACAGGAGACGCCATGGGCCCACACCAGTCAGGTCACCTTCACCTAGGATTTACTAGTGCCCCTGTGCATGCGTGGGATGGGTGCTCATGCCCGTGCAGCAGTTGTCTTACCACAACACCGGCATTCTTTATAGCCAGGGGCAGCCCCAGCAACCCTGTGCCAATGTTCCCCTTCAGCACGTGGATCAAGGTTTGGAGCGATCTGAGGGGAAGAGACAGCATCAGGAGAGTGAGTCAGCACAGGCAGGAGCCCAGCGGCCCTTGAGCAGAGCATGCCGGCAGCCCTGTGATGATGGTAGATGCACACGAGTGCTGGAGGCTCACGGAGCAAAAGGCCCTTGGGCATTTAAGCCAGGAGCCAGCAAAGAGCAGAGGGAAGATCACAGGAGGCTTCTAGGATGCACGAGAACTAGATGCATTTGCTGAACCAGCCAGCAGCTTTGTGGCATAACTCATCTGCCAAGGCCAAGGAGGCCACTTCTGCTGCAGGAGACAGCAGACTGGGTCCACGGGGGCTGAGAGACAGGTTTCCCAGGAAGAGAAGCCCAGGCCATTGCAGGAAACCCCGAACAGCGGGACCAGGCTCCTTACAGGTCACAAGTGCCCTGCATCGCTACAGATGCTGCGGGACTCCATGCACCTCAGCCTGGCCCTCAATGCGACACGGGCAGAGGGGAGCCTGGATGGCTCGTCCCATTAGCACGCTCCGAATCAGGACAAGGCGCCTGCCCATACATTGCTGCCAGCTGGAACAGCTGGCAGGGGAGCACGTGCCACAGCTCTGGGAATGAGACACTGTCTCAGCGTCGAGCAACCAGTGCCTGCACTTGGCATCTACAGCAGCTGGCAGCAGCACCAGGGGGCTGGGAGATGCCTCGGGAGGCTGCACAGACCCACTGCAAGCACAGCACCTCCCATGCAAAGAG